AAAACTATCATTATTAGAAGGATTATCTTGAAAAAAATGGATAAATATAAGAGACAAATGGATTGAGTTATAATTAGGACCATAAAAAATCAAATTGGGTCTTATAATAAGGAGTAGTTGTATGGAGTTATCAATAAAATAAAATAAAATAATATGATTGATTTATTTTATGAAATACTTTGTTTTAATAGTTTTATCTCAGACTATATTTTTTTTTTGGCCAAATTATCTTGGGATATTTGACATACACACCATATCAATGGTTGCTATACAGGACAAGAACAAAATAGAAATGTTACCTAATATAAATTGTATTTAGATTATGAAACGTTTTATTTATCTATACTTATACAGAGATTGTTGTTTACTTTTTGTTCTTATACTCACCAGCTCAGATGCAATTCATCATTTTTAGAGTAGACATGATATTTATCATATATAATATCAATATCAATATTAATATCAATAGGTCTGCCTTAGTTTGGGGACTCACTTCTTCAAATCTTCATGTTTCACTTTTTCATTATCATTTTAATACACCATCTTCTTCTAATTTAGCCACCATATCATTATTATTATTATTTTTTAACTTCCTCATCATTTGTAATATCATATATTATGTATAACTCCACCATTTCATGATGAATACCTTTATTATCCAATTCCATTACAGCACTGCCATTAAAATGAGCCCAATACGTGGTTCAAGAAACTTACACCATATTTCTTTCCACATATCTTATGTTTCTCAAATCATCTAGAAGCTCCAAAATAGTCCACATAACAATATACTGCCTCCGGTCCTAAATATAAATACACTTTGTAGTATAAAATCACTACACAATAAATTTTATATTTAGGACTGGAAGTCATATAATGCTGGACCCTTACATCTTATAATGAAGTGACAAAACACACTTTTTTTCCAATTACAAATGTTTCTATGCTTACATGAAGTAGATAAAATTAATTGAAAAGCTTTCAAATCCATGTTCATTTCTCCCTCCCAGCAGCATGAAAAATGATAGATTTAGACATTTTACATAAATGTTTTAAAAGCAAGCCATGCCTACACCGTCATTTCAATATCTTCATACAGCTTCAGCAAAATCTCCCATGTTTCAACAAACCAGCACAACATGGAACCAGATTCTCTCCATGATCATTTTAATGCAAATATTTGATCCTGCATCTCATCATCTGATCACCTTGATTTGATAAATGCATCACCTAATCTTCATCATCATCATCACAGCACATCTTGATCCTCGTCATCAATTCCATCCTCTGCCACAAGAAAAGTAAACCAGAGAGACATATCATTACAAGCTCTGCCCAGAAGCTTTTAATCAAAAGCATAAAAATATACAAGATAAATGACACAATGCAAGTATTAATACCATTATATTTGAAACTATACAACCAGTTAAGGATACAGATGAGAGCCTGGTCATTATTTGAAAGAAAAGAACTTCTATACTTTGTGAGAAAATGGGAACTGATGCTAAAAATTGATTCATTAGCTGCTGTAGTGATTGGAATGCTAAGGATATCACAAACCATCCTTGAAAGATGGGGAAACCGAATCTGATTAGTCTTCCAATAATCTAAGACATCTAATTCTTGAAATGAGTGAGGTTCTAGTATTACTTCTTCCAAATAGTAATCTAATTCAGACTTTCCCACTGAAGCAGTATCTCTACTCTCAACATCAATTTAGTCCTGCAACATGTAAAATATTATTCTTCTGGTCCTTAATATAAGACCCATTTAACTAATTTGATTAGATTAAGAAAGTTAGGTAAGTTAGTTAATTATAAGAAATGTGACACGTTTTTCCTAAACACTCATAATCATCTTTCTTAATACCCCCTTTCCCTCTTCTACTTAATTATGTTGAGGGAGTATCCATAGAGGTAATTTAGAGAAAATTGATAAATATGAAATGGTCTTATATTTAGATCAAAACCAACTCAATAATTGGGTCCTATATTAAGGACGGAGGAGTAATAAGGTAGCACCAAAAGTCTCATTTTTAATTCAAATTCAACAAAAAATACACTAAAGAAGACACAAATCAAATTTACTCATCAAAGAATATTAAACCTGCATCAAAATCTACAACGAAAACTTCTTCTTTCCTTGCACTAAGAGTAGGTTGATTTGTTACTGTCGGCATGGACTCTGACACATCTAAACTTAATTTGCATTCAATATCATGATATGAAGATGATGAACCAATATCTTTATATTGACTATAAACAAAATATAACTTATTCTTGAGAGTTTCAATCTTCACATTGCAAGTTATGGGCTCAAGTAATGAGTAACAATACTTTATGAGTTCAAACTTCAATCGTGGATCAAAGATAATCCCGAGTGCAAATATCACATTGTAATCACCCCAATATTTGTCAAACTTCTCTTTCATCCTATGAGCCATATCTCAAATCATAGGATCAACATTCATCTCATTTTCTTTTAACAACTCAATTTTTGACATTTTCATGAAATACTTGTTTAAAGTCGGATAAGATGACTGAGACACCAAGTTTGCAATCACTTCAAATGGCTCCAAGAAAGTGCAAATTCCCTCTGCTCTCTTCCACTCTTCACTGGATGCGCAACACTTGTAATTACTATCATTTAAAGCCAATCTAGCAAAAGCACAACGGTATCTGATCCTACTCTCCAACATTGCATATGTAGAATTCCATTCAGTGGACAGATCTAATTGCAAGTCCATTGAGGTGTCAATGCCCCCAGCATGCTCAATACATTGCCTAAAATTTAATAATTCTCGCCTCTGATGCTTTCACATATCTAATGCTTTCCCTAATCTTTTGCAAAGTAACACTTATTACTTTCAAGGCCTCCTGAACTATAAGATTCAAGATATCAGCTCAACACCCAACATGAAAAAGGTCCCCATTGCATATCAAGCTATTTTGCGAACTGAACCTCTCTTTCAATATATCTTTCATATTGCCATGCATTGTAGCATTGTCCAAAGTGATAGAAAAAAGTTTCTTATCAATCCCCCAATCTATCAAGCATTCATGCACTTCTTTTGCCAATTCAAACTCACAGTATGGAGGCACCATCTCATGGAAAGAAAGTATTTTGCTATTAAGTTTCCAATTTTCATCACAATTCACTACAACAAGAAGAATGAACAGATTGTTATTTTACAATTTGTATTTCACTATCCACATGAGTATTAATAGTGCGAGGAAAGACAAATTTCACACCGCAAGTGAGGAAAACAATATAGCATCACTACAAATTTAGAAACTAAATAGCACAATTTATACAGCAACCCACCTATAATTAATATATGGTTATACGCACAAGAGCATAATTCATGACTTTCAAAAACCCAGCAACAGCATGTCCCACTTTAATATAATGTGGTTATTTTCAGAAGAAACAAAGATTACTGGGTGCTGAAAAGTTAATATATGAGTTCTGACAGAAAAATAGTGAATATACGTAATAAGCAGAGTTTTTAATACCCAAACGAACACAAGCATTTCAACCTTCTAAAGAATTAAACCAATAATTGGAAAGGGCAATATGAGACTGGTCGTGTGTGCTATTATTATCCTGACAGGAAATAAATCACATTCAATCACTAAGAAAGGCATGCGTATATGTCCACCCTTTCCCAACTTTTTTTTTTAAAAAAAAATCATCAGAGCCCGACAAGATCACATTTAACGAATCAGTGTCCCACAATATCACATAAAAATTTTGAGGTAAAAGCAAAAACCATTGATTCAAACCAGAAGCAGTGTTACAGTGGTTCGAAGTCTACATTGCCCAGCGTGCTGCCGAGGGAGAATGAGAGAGGTCTCTGCACTCTGGCCTGCCGAGGGAAAGTGAAGAGTGACTTTTACTTGGGAGACGGGCTTGGGCAAGGCAAAAGTTTCGAACAAAAAAATACCGCGCTCTTCCAAGAAAGTGATTTTGGCGGGAACGGACGGCCAGAGTTGGATATTGCACCATCTGTATATTCGTTTGTATAAGCAATTTTACACTAACAACTTAGTTAAAATTGATTAAAGACAGAAATTAATATTTTTTTTGAAAATATCCTTATTTAAGAGATAGAGTATGAGAAATATAATAAGAAAATTATCATAATAAAAAAAACTATGAAAGAGAGAAAATATGTGATAGAGAGATGATAGTTTGAAAACTGGAATAATAAATATACTAAGTATTAAAATAAGTAATTCATGAGGGTAAAATAAAAAATTTGTTACAAAAATTTAGAACAATTTGCAAATGTTACTTATATCAAGAGACGAGTTTATTAGAAAAAAATATATTTAATGACAAGAAGGAGGTGATAGTTCGGTAGTTGTTATCTATAAAAAAAGATGAGAAGAGTAACTTAGGTGAAATTACTTAGCTATTTCTCCCAAAATTTTCACTCCACAACAACAGCAAGTTTTTTATGTAAAAAATTTATTTTAAAAAAGTTTAAAATCATAATAAGAAACAAGATTGATACTATTTTAAATTTTATGAAAAATTTACATCCAAAAAGCTTTTTGAATGACTAAAGCTCTAGAATAAAAATTTTCAGCAAATTTGCACTTTAATCCAAATTACTTTATATTATATGAACATTCAAAATTAATTTTAAATTTTTAATGCTTAAGGCAGAGATTACTTCACAATATGGTTTAAATGCAGTTTTTTTAATAAAAAATTGATAAATATATAATTTTTATTTTATTATATACACATTAAGATATTAAAATTAAATTAAGAAAGGCTGACTCAATTAGTAGATGGTTGAGTCCTTTGAATATAATCTCCTGAGGTCATGGTTCTAAAAAACATATTAAGAATGTCACAAAAACTTTTAATTAAAAATATTAAAATCAAATCATATTAAATTTCGAATTTTATTCCGGACGGGTCCGGATTACCTCTCCCAAACAAATATGCTCCGAATTTGTCAGCCTCTGTTTTCAAGTCTGAGCTCTTCGGCCTTCTCATCGAAGACTGCCCTGGCGACTACGCACTCTCTCTTCTCACTTCGCCGTTTCGCAAGTCGCGGCTGCCTCTGCTACAGTGCTCGTGGCTACATCTCCTCGCCGTCGCCGTCTTTCTCCTCAGTCCGTATCTTGCTAATATGAAAGCTTGAAGGGTACTGGCGCCTCTTCGTTCTCCGATAACGTCTCCGCCACCGGTTCCGCCGTCCATCGTCGGGAATGGATAATAGCCACACCTGGACCTGCCATACCTGTGGCAACGTGGGTCTAGCTGACGGTTCCGATGGCTTCTTCTACTGCCTTCGATGTGGCTCTCAGGCTGACGACATAGTTGACACCGGTGTGGCCGATGAGGACTTCGTCAACATGGGAGGAGACGCCAGCGGCGGCATCTACTTAGCCAGTCACCGCCGCCAGCGTTCGCATGCGATCAAGGTTGAACCTATTTCTCAGTATGATTCCATCTACGATTCCCAGTCCCAGTTCATGAAGTCTCTGGGGTTGGAAGACGAAGCTCCTCAATGTCAAGGAAATCGTTCTGAGGGTGGTTTTAAGGTAGAAAGAGATTCAGATTATGGTTTCCAATTTAATGAGGCTGGTTTCTCGGTTCCAGGCGATTTTGGGGTTCAAATACCGTGAGGGTTCTGAGTTTTGACGATTATTACACTGAGATAAGGATGCGTTATGTGATGGGGTTGCAGATTATGGTCCAGCTTCAATGTGAAGCATTGGTGAAGGAGTTCAAGGTGAACCCTTTGATATGTGGGATTGTTGGGCCAATTTGGTTGAGATTTGTCTCTGGGACTGCTGTTTTCGATGATGGGTGGGCTGATGAAGTAATTCACGAGTCTGAGATGCAGAAAGAAGAAGAGCCTGCTGATCACAAGCCCCGTGCTAAATACGAAGCAGAACCTCACAATATCCATGGTGAGCGCGCTGTAATGATATGGTATAGGTCTTTAAGGAAAAGTATCCCATTAGCTTGTACTGTAGCTGTTACATTCCTTGCTTGTCATGTTGCCAAGGAAGCAATCTTGCCTACAGACATAATGAAGTGGACTCTTGAAGGGAGACTTCCATATTTTTCTGCATTTCGTGAAATTGAAAAGCGCATGGGGCAACCTACAAAAGCATGTCCTATAAGTTCAATGATTATGTTCAGGCCTTCGCAAGCTGTGTCTTTACAGAAGCTAGAGTCACTGGCAGCATCCGTTGCTGATTCCATAGGCCTGGATTTGCCTCCTGTCAACTTCTATGCAATAGCTTTGCGTTATCTTCAAGACTTACATCTTCCAGTTGATAAGATTCTTCCTGATGCACTTAAGATTTATGAATGGTCAATGCCCCCAGGTTTATGGCTATCCACAAATGAATTGAGGCTTCCTACTCGTGTTTGTGTTATGTCAATTCTGATAGTAGCGATAAGAATGTTGTATAACATAAATGGTTTTGGAGAATGGGAAAGGAGTTTGTGTCATGGCGGTGCTGCTTCAGTCAAATCTGCAAGTGGCTCTGAAGGAAAAGGAAATGGTGGAATGAATACCAATTTTCCTTTTCATGATGATAGTGAACGTTCTGACAAAGACCCAGTACAACCCCAGCAACCAGAATGGGATGCTGCGAGGCTTCTACACCACCTTTATACATTATATGATGGGGTTGCTGACAAATATGGGTACTCAAAGGACTTGTCGACATATCTCCAATATTGCAAAGATGTTGTCTTTGCTGGATTAGAGCCATCATTTGAGAATCATGAAGAAGAGAAGATGATAGAATTCTCATGGAATTTTTATCAAAATGACAAGGATTCTGAACCAGCTGAACGAGTAGAGAAACCTGACGCTTCTTTGAACCAAAATAAGCCGAGCAGGGAGATATGTATTAATAAAACATCCAAGGAGGAAAAACGGAGAACAGAATGTTTCAGCCACAAAACACATGATGATGATGCAATGGATAATGATGACTCCCCCGAGAGTTCACTAGACTCTGATGAATCAGAAAATGACGGGGAAACCTCTTCAGAGTCTCATGATAATGAGGCCATCAGAAAGCTGAAATTGGACATGGAGGAGAACAAATTCTGTTACATACCTCCGAGGGTGAAGCCCAAAAGATTTGATTATGTTCACTACGTGAGAAAAAAGGATAAAGGTGCCTATGCTTATGTAGCTCATGCTGATTATTACATTATACTTCGGTCTTGTGCTAGGGCTGCACAAGTTGATCTTCGGATTATGCATATTGGCGTGTTGAGCTTTGAGAGAAGACTTGCCTGGATAGAAGAAAGGATTGACAAGGTCTTGCGTGTGAAACCTCCAAGGATCTCTTGCCAGTTTTGCGGTGGTGAGAAGGGCCCTGAAAATGAAGTATCTGTTGATGAACTGGGACTTTCAGATTTGAGTATATGAGGATTTTGAATCGTGAGTGTTTTCTTCTACAAGCTTTTGATTGACCTCTAACAAGTATGGCTTAGATCTCTTTGGTATCAAACAAGTCCTGGATCTTAAACTAGCCTTGATAGTGTGAGTTTGCAAGTTGACAGAGACACTAACACATGCAAGGTATTTAGAGTCAGAGCACTAATTTTATGTTACTTAGGTTAAGGTGTAACTAGTCCATGGAGTAGATTGATGCCTATAATATATTCTGAGACAACTTGTTTTCTACTACTTTGTATGATGTATGAGATGAATCTTATTGTTCGTAGTTTATAAAAAGTATGACTCATTATAAATTTTATATTTTATATTTTATATTTATTGATGATTGGTGATGACTATCTAAATACGAAGGTAACATAGCCGTGGTTTCTAACCATCGAATTTACACATGCACACTTGTATATGCATGTTAAATCAGGATCAAGTCTTACTTTGTACAAAGTGCAGGTAATGCTAAATGTCTTTTCAAACTCTATAGAATGCATGATCCCGAGATTTGATGATAACTTTAAAATGAATATAATGACAAAGGATATTAGTATTTTTCAGGGATTCATTTTGTCACTCTTCTTTAAAGGAGGAATAAAGATGAGATCGATTCGCGTTTGTAAATCTGCAAGTTGACGTAGACTTGAACTCATGCAAGTATTTTTAGGATACTTTAGTTTCCATTTGAATATTTTATATAATATGCTGGTCATTTCCATGATAATTTAATTCGGTCAGTTTCTATAATTTTAGGATATATCTCCCCCCCCCCCCCCACCCCACCCCCACCCCACCCCCAATAACATAGAAATAGACTAAAACCAATACAAATTAAGTGGGGACGGAGATCCCAAAATGTCATTTTGCACAGCGCTCTTAGACCTTCTAGCGATAGACTTCTCTATTAACAACTTAAATTTGGAAATTGTTGAACCAAGCTCTTCCAATCAGTGATCTACTTAGGCATCACAGACCTTTTGAATGCCTACGGGAGGAATCATTAGATCACTTATTTACATCATGTCCATGTGTGAAAGCAATCTGGTTTAGTAGTTTTGCCCTCAAGCTTTCAGACCTCACTCTGAATTCCTTTCTCTCTCCTGGCTAAAAAGCATATTAGATCAGTTGCACATTGATGGTCTTGAATATATCTTGAGGGGTATCATCATTCTCATCCATGTCATATGGCATAAGAAGAACATCGCTATGCGTGAAGGTAAGATTTGGCCTCCTGATTCTGTCATCTGGGAAATACTTGGATCACTAAATTTCTCATAGTTAGCTTTTTCGACTTTGTTGCAAAATACCCTAGCTCCAGCTAAAGTGAATTACTAGTAGAATTGGCAGCACATACGAGACCAAATGCCAAGCCACCAGGATGCGGGTTGCTTCAATTTGCTCTGCCTAGCTCGCGGGTTGTGGCAGACCAACCCGCAATCCATGGGCCAGCCCCCATTTTTAGCTCTAATGAATCTTGATACGCGTCTCATTCATAATAGCTGGTAAATGTCCTGTCTAAGCAGAAAAGAAATCGGTTTGCTGCTTGTCATGTGACCTGTGTGGATGGACTGCCTATTCAGCAAATTTTGTGAAAGAGAAGGAACGCAATCCCCTAACTCTTAGCTCCCATTTGGTATGAGACATTGAAAATGAGAGATAGAGATTAGGATTACAATTAAAAAAAAATCATTAAAAAATATTTAGTATGAGTAATTGCTTATTAAATGGGTTAGACAAACTCATAGAAGTGAGATTGGGGAGTACCATCTCTTCTCATATTATTTTTTAATCCCACATATATAAGTTTGTCTAATCTTATGTACTAAGCCGTGAAGTAATTTTTTAATGGATTTTGTCAATCTCAATCTTAATTCTTATATTTCATTTTCAATACTTCGTGCCAAATGGATATTTAATTCTTTGTTTTCGGGCTGCCATTTCGTGGATCCACAACTCAAAGGCGCTTTCGCATCCAAGGACAACCAGCTTACAAAACATCGTATAAAAAGTAAGAAATTCATCTCACTTGACCGCACGGATGCTCCTATGGGACACATTATATGGCAGGACGTATATTCGATGTTTGCAGTTTTCTCAGGGATCCTAGTTCACGCTGCAGTCTTCTATTCTTTTATGAACATATTTTATATTCCTCTAATATCATTTTGTCTTTTCATAAACAAGAAAGCACTAAAACACAATATTAAAACCTAACCCGAGTAGCCCCTTCGGTCACCAGTGAACTAGTTTCTTGATTAGTACGATTAAGAGTTTTGGACAGGTTAACTGAGTTTTATAATTTTTTTTTCTTTCTTTTTAGCTTGAAATAACTTTGTTTTCAGTTGAAAAAAAAAAAAGTTAACGTGCAAATTTGTTCTAGAAGTTTTTATTTAGGAATGCTGGACACCCAAAAGTTTTGTACAAATTTGTTCCATAAGTTTAAAATTTGTATCAATTTTTTTCTTTTGTTTTTTTTCTAATGATACAGGACAAAGTTGTTACAACTTTAAATTTTTAGGATAAATTTACATTTTAATCCTTTAAAAGATAGCTGTAGTTTAGCAGCTGTTTCGTTCAATTATGTGTTATTTATACATGAATATTTCATTTACTCATGTATTAGTATATCTTAATTTAAATTATTATTATTTATATATTTTAATTAAATTATATATTATAGGTTAATTAATCCGCAAGTCCTTATAGTTTTAACGAATTTTGAATCAGGTTCCTATAGTTTTTTTCTTTTTGTCAGGTCCTTATACTTTTACCTTTTTTAATTAGGTCCTTGTATTTATTTTTCTTTTAATTAAGTCCTTATAATTTCACTAAATTTTTAATCAGGTCCATGTAGTCTTAATTTTTATTTATTAATTAAATATAAGCTTAATTAAATAGATTAATACTGAAATATAAAATATTAATAATTAAATTAAATTAATAATTATGTAATTAAAAAGTAATAGAATTAATTAATTCAGGAAAATTTTTTAGAACAATTAATTTTTTTGCTGAAAAAATTAAAATCATTATAATAATTCAATATCTTTAGAATATTATTGTTTATAAACTAATATTAAATAATATATACTATTTTATGTTTATATAATAGTACTATTAGAATTTATTAAATAAAGAATAAAAAATTCAGGGATTTAATTAAAAATAAGGTGAACTTATAAGGACTCGATAAAAAAAAATAAATACAAAGACCTAATTAAAAACAGGTGAAAGTATAAGGACATGATAAGAAAAAAAACTATAAAGACCTGATTCAAAATTAGTTGAAACTATAAGGAACTGTGAATTAATTATCCCAATTATATATTTCAATCCTAACGTCTTTGGGTCACTGATCTAATTGATTCAACGAGTAGTTCAGTTTTTCCATACCTTGATTAAACCTAAACCTGTCATTAACAGTAACATTTTTTTACGTTGAAATCTTAATAATTTAATGTACACCATATAGCTTTAAGGACTTGTGTGTGCATATAAACTTGTAGCAGACTTTAGGCTTGTCAATGACATCTATTTTTCATTGTGCGGCTTACTTTAGGCATTCTGCAAAATTACTGAGGTTCTTCATTTTGAATAGGCAACAATTGTTATGTGGCAATTTCGCTCTCTTTTCTCCGCCACATCTCATTATACGCATTCAATTTCACCAACTTCAATGTCAGAGAAAACATGGATACCCACAATATTTTTCCCTTGGATTTTAATACATAATACTAGTAATTTTATCCTTCATATTTTCCTCAAACTATTCCAGTACATGGAAAAAAATCTGGTACATAAAATTAATTTTAAACAGATCCCCCCCATCCAAATTAATTAAAAGGTCATATTTACTCAAAAAAGAAAGCCAATGAAATGAAGCCACGCTTATAGCGTCCTCTTGCAAGTATAATAAAATCTAACCTGAAACAGATTCCTAGATGCCTCCTCTTGCGCCTTCAAAAGGTGAGCAAAAAGGGCCCAGGTAACAGGCGCCCCTATTCATCCTTGGTGGTCCAGGCTTCAGGCGTTTGAAAAGATCAGCTACAATTGATCAAACAGAAAGAACGCCATCCATACTAATACCATGAAACTTGTAACATATTTCTTTTACTGTCATATATCCTAAATCCTTCATATTATCTGAAACCTCCAAGAAAGTCCACCTATCAATATCACATTTATGCGATACAAACTTTGGACCCTTGGATCTTACAATAAACACCTTTATAGATGCAAGACTTGCCACACAATTGTTCTTGTGTTTGCATAAAGCTGAAAGATAAATTAGTTCAAGAGCTTTCAAATACAAGTTCGTTTCTACCTCCCAGCAATATGAACATGATAAATTTACACATTTTACATAAATGTTCTAAAAGCAAGCCATGCATACACACCATCACTTCAGCATCTCTATACAGCTTCTGCGAAATTTCCCATGTTTCCACAAACCAGCACGACCATGAATCTTTTAATGCAAATATTTACTTCTACGTCTCATCATCTAATCACCTTGATTTGATAAATGCATCACTTAATCTTCTTCATCATCATCACTGATGATGTTTAAATCTTGATCCTCATCATCAATTCCATCCTCTGGCACAAGAAAATAAACCAATGAGACATATCATTGCAAGCTTTGCTTAATTGCTTTTAATCAAAACAATAAAAATATATAACATTAATAACAAAATGCAAGTATGTTACCATTATATTTAAAACCATACAACCAATTACGGATGCAAATAAGAGCTTGATCACTATTTGAAAGAAGACAGCTTCGATACTTTGTGAGAAAACTTGAACCAATGCCAAAAACCGATTCATTAGCCACTGTAGTGATTGGTATGCTAAGAATGTCACAAGCCATCCTTGAAAGATGGGGAAATCGAATCTGATTAGTCTTCCAATAATCCAGAACATCTAATTCTTCAAATGAGTGAGGTTCAAGTATTGCTTCATCCAAATATTTATCTAGTTCACACTTTCCCGCTGAAGCAGTATCTCTACTCTTAAAATCAAATTTATCCTGCATTATGTAAACTATTAATAAAAATACCATTTAAAATAGCATTAAAAGCCTCAAATTTAACACCGAGTCACCAATAAAAAAAAGAAGACATAAATCAAATTTAATTATCAAAGAATATCATACTTACACCAAAAGCTTCAGCAAAAATTTCTTCATTACACGCACCAACGGTAGGCTGATTTCGCACTGCTGGTATTGAAATTGATACTTTTGAAGACGGTGCCTCAGTATCTTCATATTGACTATAGACAAAATATAACTTCTTCTTGATAGTTTCAATCTTTGCTCGACAAATTATAGGGTCAAGTAATGAATAACAATACTTTATCAGTTCAAACTTCAATCGTGGATCAAGAATAGTTCCAAGTGCAAATATCACACTGTAATCACCCCAATATTTGTTAAACTTCTCTTTCATCCTATGAGCCATATCTTGAATCTTTGGATCAACATTCATCACATTTTCTTTTAAAGACAACTCAATTTTTGACATTTTCATGAAATACATGTTTAAAGTCGGATTAGATGACCGAGACATCAAGTTTGTAATCCCCTTAAATGGCTCCAAGAAAGTGCAAATTTCCTCTGCTCTCTTCCACTCTTCATTTGATGGGCAACACTTGTAATTACTATCATTCAAAGCCAATCTAGCAAAAGCCTGACGATATCTAATCCCACTCTCCAGCATTGCATACGTAGAAGTCCATTCAGTGGACACATCTAATTGCAAGTCCATTGAGGTGTCAATGTCCCCAACATGCTCAACACATTGCCTAAAATTAATAATTCTCGCCTCTGATGTTTTCACATATTTAATGCTCTCCCTTATATTTTGCAAAGCAATACTTATTACTTTCAAGCCCTCCTGAACTATAAGATTCAAGATATCAGCACAACACCCCAAATGAAAAAAGTCCCCATTGCATATCAAGCTATTTTGCAAACTCAACCTCTTTTTCAATATATCTTTCATTTTTCCATTCATCAAAGCATTGTCCAAAGTAATAGAAAACAATTTCTTATCAATCCCCCAATCGATCAAGCATTTGTGTACATTTTTAGCCAATTCAAACTCACGGTATGGAGGCTTCATCTTACAGAAAGCAAGTATTTTGCTGTTAAGTTTCCAGTTTTCATCAACAAAATGAGCCGTCAAGCAAACATATCTTTCAGAAGTTATTGTTGTCCAACAATCAAAAGTTAAGCATATTCTACTAGGACTCCTTGACATGATCTGTTTCAACTTTCCCTTTTGGCTAATATAAAATTCACAAACATATGACATGGCTGTTTCTCTAGAAACGTGCTCAAAATCAGGATTCAAATACTTTTGTAGTTCCATCATCCTTTTGGACTCAAAAAATGAATAAGGAAGATCATGTTCAATGATAGCCATAGTAACGATCTCCCGAACACGGTCATGATCTACCTTTCCAATAATTCCTGCTTGGCTTAACATCATGACATCAATATTTCGATAATATGGAGGAGGAACAAATTGTTTATATAAATTCACTGCAACAAGAAGGAAGAACAGATTGGTATTTTACAATTTGTAATTCACCACCCACATGAGTATTAATAGTGCGAGGAAGACACCTTTTATACGGCAAATAAGGAAAACAATATACCATCACCACAAGTTTGGAAACTAAATAGCATTATTTATACAGCAACCCCCATATAATTAATATATGATTATATACACAAGGGAATAATTCATGACTTTCAAACATACAGCAACGGTAAATCCTAATTTAATATAATATGGTTATTTTCAGAAGGAACAAAAAGAAACAAAGATTACGAGGTACTCGAGTTTCTTACAGAAAGATAGTGAATATAGGTATTAAGAGTTTTCAAGACCCAAACGAATATAAGCACTTCAGCTTTCTAAACAATTAAACCAATATGTGGAAAGGAAAATATGAGTGTGCGCGTGTGCTATGAAAACATCTTGAAATACAAAACAAAAAAACTATCACACGTTTAGCATAATTATTATGCTGAAAGGAAATAAATCACATTCAATCACTCAGAAAGACATGCATACATGTCAAACCTTTTATAGCTTTATAAATGATCAATCATAATAGTCCTACAAGATCACATTTGATGAATCAGTGTCCAACAATGTCACAGAAGAAATTTGAGGTAAAAGGGAAAACCATTAATCCAAACCAGAAGCAGTGTTACAGTGGTGCGACTTCGAGGACGATTGCCGAACGTGTCGCCGAGGAACACTGAAGCGAGACTTTCTACTTGGGACCAGGGCTTGGGCGAGGCAAAGTTTAGAATAAAATAAAAGAATGAATAATAGAGCGCGCTTCGAGGAAAGTGAATTTTTTGGCGGGAGAGAGCAGCCAAATTTGGGCCGTTTCTACGTACGATATTTAAAAAAAAAATCTGATACCAATTACTCTTCCAATTCTTAGTAGGATTAGGTTGCAAATTTGTAGAAGTGCTAGATATTTGAATGTTTTTTTTTTTTGGCTCAATGTTGCTCTAGAAGTTTCCAACTTGTAGCAATGTCGATCTTATCCAAGTTAAATTTAGCCATTAGTTGACTAAGCATGCTGAGTTAGCAAATCCTTGCGTCATCCATGTCATTTTCTCTTATGGCTAAGATATAAATTTGTCCTAAAAGTTTTTATTTAGAAACACTGGATATTTGAAAGTTTCCAAATTATAACAATGTTACCCCGGCTGTTATCCATATTAAGTTTGATCATTAACTGACCAAACAATCTAAGCTGATAGGTCTATGTGTCATCCACTTCATTCTTTTTCAAGGTGAGGATTTAGCACTAACTCTAAGAAAATTCATTGTTTCTATGCTTTCCAAGCCCGTGGCTATTTCTGAAATCAACATCATTGTTTACATATTTCAAGAATTCTCGTAAGGTTCTTCTCTACATATATTATTTACTTTTTATTTTTTTTGCTCTACTTTTGTTCTTATGAAAAATACCAAACTAAGTGCAAATAGTGAAGTAACAATGATCAGAAAGATAAGAGAAATCGTTTTTTTCGAGGCAAATTTGCATTAATCTAGAAAAAGAAAATTACATGGTTGACACTTGGACCTATCAACTCAGCATATTTGGTCAACTAATAGTCATATTTAACCTAGATAATGGCTAGGGCGACATTGCTACGATTTGGAAACTTCCACGGCAACATTGAGCAGGAAAAAAAAAATCTAGATACCCAACAGTCCTAAATGAAAATTTATGGGACAAATTTACACTTTAACCCTTATTAATATAACACCTACTTTATAATACAATTTGCACAATAAAATAAATGTTATATCAATGACTAGAAGAGTACTTGTTACTTGAGGTAAATATTCCTGAACATCATTTTGCACAACACTTTCAAGATATCTCTGAGTCAAATTAATAAAGTATTCTTTTTGGTTTAAAATAAGATAAATTTTATTCATTTATATTTAACAAGAAATTAGTTAAAATCAGTTTAAAACAATAAATATGTAAGGCATGTATTTTTTTCCAAATATGTTCTTATTAATGAAGAGAATAAATAAAAGATACAATAAATGAATCAAAGAGGAAAGAGAATATGTGTTAGGAGTAAAATTGAAAAAAAATTCATTAAATATTTGGCTAAAAGTGAATGTTATCTTATAAAAAATAAGTCTCTCCAATAAAGTTTATCTTATATTTTGAACCAGAGGGAGTAATATTTATTTCTTTTATAAAGACTCTGCTTAAAATTAACGTCAACAACCATATTAGATCTTTTAGACTATATTTGCACAAATTAGTCATGTCTCATCATCTCTTCAATACATACCCCAATTGTAGAAAACACATACTTAAATGTCAAATTATTGTTAACTCTATCAACAGCAAATTCAAAGTTTCAAACTATGGGGGTTACGTCTATTGGCACAATTATTTGTTTGGAAAATTTTTTAAAAAGTACCACTTAAATTTCAAAATCTTAAATCAGAAATTTTTACAAAATGTTGTTATTTACTTTTTAAAAATACAATCTGTGTAAGAAACAAGATTAAGTTTTTGGGGTTAAGAAAGCGACTCAATTTCATGAGTTGTATATAGCTGATTCTTGTAAAGAGAAATGAGTTCTGAAAGGGCATGTTGGTGGATAGTATGCAGAAAACGCTTCATAACAAGTTGTTTTATCTGCGTATGTATAATGGATCCAGGCTTTTTAAGGAAGGTTGTGATAATATATTTTTAAGATTTTTAAAACATTTCATAAGTATGCATAATGATATAAAGTGAGCCGGCTTCCAACGTCTCATATTAACATCTTCTGTCAATACAATTAAGGGGTTACTGGAAAGAAAATTTTTACTATAGTTTCAAAGTTAAAATATTAATGAAAAAACTTAATAAAATTGAATCTTGATGCAAAAATAAAGGATTAAACGTATAAACTAGTGTACATCATTAATGCTAACATATTTTGCTTCAAATCTTAATCATCTATGTGCGTATATCATATACCTGTAAGAATTTATGTGTACACAAACTTATGGCAAATCTTAAGCTCGTTGATGACATTTTTTTTTTTGGGAGAATTACTATAAGATCTTAAAGAAAGAAAAAAATTGCAAAACAAGTTCTAAGAGTTGTGAGTCTCCGTTCTATAACTTGTCATTACAAGCTGCTCAAATTGTTATTAGGATCTTTTAGTAATTATTTCTCTTTCTCAGAACTTGACTGTAATTCTCTCTCTCTCTCCTTTCAGTGAATGGCTTACCTTAGGCTTTCTGGGAAATTATTGAGGTTCTTCATATTGTGTCAGGCACCAATTGTTGTGTGGCAGCTTTTGTGTCCTGCTTTTGTCATATATGCCTATTATTTCACAATTAATTTATCCACATAAACCAAACTTAAAGAAGGAAAACAAGCCATCTTATTTTACACCCAAACCAACTACGCTTATAATTGCTTCACTGTCCCAATAATGTACAAGGTGGTACTGGCTATCAAACAAATAGGATAACTCCAATTAAAGGACCCAATAAGGATACAATGATGAGAAAAATTTGTTTATAAGAATTTTTCTAATCACTGACAGGAAAATGGCTCATATTGAGTCGATTTTGGCCGCCAAATTAATTTGGATGGTAAAGAATTATTTCTTTCATAAAAAAAATAGATCAAATTACTTTAAACAGATCTGAACCATCCAAATTAATTAAAAGGACATGTTTACTCAAAATGAAGGTCATTTTCCCACCAAGACAAGACAGGATCATACACATTCTATACACATGGTACAAAGAAGCCAATGAAATGAAGCCATGCTTATAGCATCCTCTTGCAAGTGTAATCAAATATAACCTGAAACAGACTCCTTGGTGATGCCTCCTCTTGCGCCTTTAAAAGGTGAGCAACTCTTGCGAACCCATCATCATGGTATCTAAACCATGCATCTTCCTTCTCATCAGATTTACTTTCATAGTCCATTTGTTTTGTTCTTGACAAGGCCCACTGCATTGCCCATATGGCTAAAGGGCGCATGTAACACAGAGATCTGTATTCATCTTCGGTGGTCCAGGCTTCGGGAGTTTGGAAAGAATAGCTACAATTAATCAAATGGGAGGAACTCAATGAGATATGAAAAAGTTAGATGAAACAACAAATATTAACAAGAGTAATTAGCGGTTGATTTCCACGTGGTTTGGTTCAAAAATTAACTTTTTCTCAGTAGTTTGAAGTTTTCCATTTAACATCTCTGTAGTTTATTGCATTAACAATTAAACATTCAACCCCCAAGTGATTAGTTTGACAGGGATAGCAATAATTGATCAAACAGAAGGACCTCAACAAGATATGAAAAAAGTATATGAGGTAGAACCCATATTCATTGTAATAATGGAAAATGACAGTAACACCCAGTAGTCTGATCTGGAATTTGCTGATGCTCAGTACTTTATAGTATGTCATTCAACACCTATAGTTTATTCCTTTACCATCTACCCACCAAGGGATATTTGAATAGACTAGATATAATTGATCAAACATGAATATCTCAGGGAGATATGAAAAGATTACACGAAAGCGAACACATCTTCATAGTAATAAGGGTAAATGACAGTGGAATCTCATGTAGTCTGACCCAAGTGGTATGTTTGACAATAGCTCTGATAGATCAAAAGAAGTACCTCAATGAGATATGAAAAAATTACATGAAACAACTTATCTTCATAGTGAGAAGGGTAAATAACAATTGAATCCCACGTGGTTTGTTCAAAAACTAGCATCGATATCTCTCAGCAGTTCAAAGTGTGTCATTCAACACCTCTTTAGCTTGTTCCATTCCCATTTAACCACCACGTGATATGTTTGATTTTAATTTAATAGAAAAAATAAGTCAACATTAAATGACCAATGAAGAATTTCATCATCAGAGTTATATCATCCTTACAATTGTCTCTTAGTCGTATAAATATGTTAA